CCTCTTTGTTGAAAATGCCTCTATCATCTCCTTGTTGACCTTCGAAGATATGCCCATAAAAGTCTTGACATGCCATGCATTAAGAGGTGACGATAGTATGATCTAACTTATGCAACAGTAAAGTCATGTAAAGGAGATTATAGACCGTGGATCAACTTCCGTCCAATGCATATTCACACACTTCATTTAGTGCTTAATACATCTATCTTCCACCATCTTTAGCAGATCTCACTATTAGTTGTCTTACGAGCCTTTAGCTTGCGAGGAGACTTAGGCTTTTAAAACTTGATATTTGGTGCTTCCTTAGCGAGGCAGTGTCATCGTCATCTACAATGTGTACTTGAGTAGATTGGGGAGAATGCATTGGTGAGTTCGCCTCATCTCCAAGATTTATAGTCTCACTACGGCTAAACTTTTTCCAAGCATCATTAGCAAATTGACCTGTGGCTTGATCATCACCGATGATAAGGGCGAGATCATCATAATGCCTCAATGGTTTATTGACATATTGTCTAAGCTTCGCATTCTTAAAGCTCTTGTCCTGAAAAAGTATAATTTAATTAATTAGAAAAATTACTTAAAATGGAAAATAAATATATTCTTTAACCAGGCTTTATTTACCTCAATCCACCTATCCAAACATTCAGGATCCATAATGATAGTCTTCGTACTATCATCCCATCCAGCTCCACTAAGATTACGACAAGTTTCCATATCACGAAATCGTGTTCGTAGAGTTTTGATGCGGTGCATGACATTATCCCACTTAAAAACTGTGTTGAACTTTTCATTAATGTGTTGAGAAGCCATATGAAATGCGGTTCTCTTAAAGCTTTTGTCGGGTTTGTATCCCTTTCTTACCAAGTCGGCAAGAAATGGAATGAGCTCATCATCATAACGGGAATCCCAAAACAAATGTTTGTTGCCTTGAGAACCACCTACTTCACCATTTTTGGAGGATGTGGTGTTTTTCCTCTTCTTCTTTGGATTTGGCGATGTTTCTACCCCTTCTTCTATGAGGTCCCGTTTGGAACCTGATTCGGGAGTTGATCCATTACCACTAGTGTGTGAAAGCTGCACCCCACTCAGATTAGGACTGTGAAATTGTGGAGGTAAAGTGGGTGAATTGAGCATGTTCGAATATGGCCCCATATTATGGTGCATTGAAAAGTAGCTGCTATCATGGAATGGCATGTTCGGGTATGCTTGAGGTGGTTGTACAAAGTACGACTGCTGAAATGGAAAATACCCATCACCGTGATGCACAGACTGAGGGGGTTGAGATGGTTGGGAAGGTGAAGGAACGACCCCCTTGCCTTTTTGATTATCTCTCCCACTCAATGAAGTATTATCAGCCATTGCTAATTAAATAGAAAAAGTTAGATGAAATAAGTACAACATGAATAAAAACTGAATGACATTAATGGAAATAGAGTTATTGAGTACATATATAAGCATAAATAGAACAATAATAAAAGTCAAGTCTCTGTGGTTACACCATGATTATACATATCACAGTAGTCCACCCACATCGCCCAAGCAATGTCATCCCTAAGAGTCTTCCACTCATTTCTTGATTCAGTTTGCTCTCTTTGGGTTTGATTTTGAGTAAAATCAACTAAATTAGTGTCATTCTCGAAAGCCACTTCACCATCAATGTCTTCATTAATTTCATCATCGTTGAGTAATTCATCACTTGGATCCACAGTTGCAATGAAATTATGGAGTATCGTGCATGCCAATACGATATCTACTTGTATAGGAAAAGGATAATGCGGCTTAGCACACAAAATCTTGAAACGATTCTTCAATGTGCCAAATGTAGATTCAATCTTAGACCTCAATGAAGAATGTCTTAGATTGAATAATTCTCTTCTATTCTTAGGTGTTTTACCCGAATGTTCTTTCAAATGATATCTAACACCTCGGTATGGAGAG